GGTAATGATTATTATCACTCATGCATTCATGTAAAAGCAGGGTGTTACTGCTGGAGCTGTAGAGCTAATGATTATTTTCACTCGGGGTTAACCTGACAATTATTTTCTTCATTAATCAATGGATTGTTTGGTTTGTAAAAATGCTGAATAAAGGGAGAAATGCAGTCACAATATTATCAAAATAGTTGGCAATACATTTTCTGTCAATCGATTAATCGATTAATCATTTCATCAAGGCAAGGCATGTTTATTTGTATAGCACATTTCAACAACAAGGCAATTCAAAGTGCTTTACATAAAACATAAAAGAAGCATAGGGAAATATAAAAAGACATTTAATACATTTAAAAAGAGTTAAAAAAGATAAAACAGGACAAAAATACAGTACAATGTAAGATATAAATCAAAAGCCTTAAATTTCCTTTAATAAATCAAGTTATATAAAATGTTGTTTATAACAAAACATCATATTTTGTAAACGTATGATATGTTTTGTGTGCAGAAATCTTCATTTGTAAAGAAACTAAAGCTGGAAACAGAGTAAAACTTACAACATTGCCTGTACAGGAATAGAAGTACAAAATGGCATGAACAAAAAATAAAGAATATAAAGAATATATAATAAATGCATAAATTAAACATAAACATAAAATAAAATTATTGAAATGTGTGTTTTCCAGGTGCAGGCTAGCAGCGGTAAGTTGAGGTACTCGGGTCCGCTTGACTGTGCAGTCACGCTCTATAAGAAGCAGGGGCTCCGCAGTGTCTACAAAGGGACTGTGCTCACTCTCATCAGAGGTGAACATCAATGTGCATGTGTGTGAATTTGTCAGTGGTGGAAGAATTATTCAGATATTTTACTAAGTACTATGTACTAAGTATTATATTTTGTTTAGGATGCTTATGTTACATTATGAAGTATTCTGATTTAGTGTTTTTGTGATCCTGTGTCTGTGTTTGTAGCTCCCTCTTTTGGAAGTAATCCCACCTCTGTGTAATTAAGTGTCAAGTTGCCGTGTACACGCTGAAGAAGGTCGTCTGGCCCAAAACGTCCGTGTGGCATAGTAAAGAGTATCATGGGAGTGCTGTCCTAGTTTTTCCTCCATGAGGAAAGCACAAGGAACAAAACTACAGTGTAAAAATACTCTGTTACAAGTAAAAGTCAGAGTAATGTTTCTTATATTCTCAGATTATAATTATTGATGCATTCATGTGTTCATCACTTTAACTTAATGCCAGTAAAGGTGGTGCTAATTTAATTACGTCATATACTGTTGGGGACGCTAAACCTCTCTGTAGGCGTTATTTTGTAATCTGTGTTTTTCTGTGTGATTGTTGAATCCAAAGGGCAGCGTGAATTTACAGCCTCATTGTGTCTGTCTCCCTCTCAGATGTGCCTTCTAATGGTCTGTACTTCCTGACATACGAATACCTCAAAAACTTCCTGACACCTGAGGGTCAAAGGTGAGTAACCATCGTAACAGCGAAGAAGCTTATAAAATTTCAAGGTCCTTTTAAATGCTGTAAACCTCACCTTTGATTTTATGTGTGTGTGTGTGTTTCTTTATGCTTTAGTGTTTCTCAGCTCAGCACTCCCAACATCCTCCTGGCTGGTGGTGTAGCGGGGATATTAAACTGGACGATCGCTCTTCCTCCAGACGTCCTCAAGTCCAACTTCCAGACAGGTGAGAGAGCAGAGGTTGCGCCACACTGAACTCTTTGTAAGACACAGAAAAAGGAAATAGCACGTTCTAGACAGGGCAGGAAAAAGAGACAAGGAATGTAAGCCTCTGGATTTAAACTAGGGATGGGCGATACCAAACCTTTTTAAATTCAATATTCTTTTTGTTAAAATTTTACTAGTACAGATACTGATAATTTCTTAAATGGGAATGTGATTTAAAAAAAATAATGGTAATTATTTGGGGGGAAAAAGATCATCACCCTTAAAGGCAAATCACATGACACATACCAACCATTAAAGGTTCAGTGTGTAATATTTAAGAGGATCTATTGACAGAAATGTAAATAATATTAATATATTAATATAACAAAGACCTTACATCATGAACAGATAAGTCTTTATTACCTTAGAATGAGCCATTTGTAGTCGCAATGGTGTGCCACCATATTTCTACAGAAGCCCAAGCGGATAAACTGATCTACAGAGCGTGTTTCGTCACTACGTTGATTATGTACATAGAAGGAAAAAGTTGTAGTAGTAATCGTCTGGTTTATCAGAAGTAAGAAAAAAAAGAGAAATTTGGACAAATGGAGGACCACTCGTATTATTTAGCCCAACAGCTGACAGAGCGTGTTGGCCACCGTAGCTTCACTTGCACACTTGGAAAGGGAGGGGTGAGCGATGACTTGAGCAGTTGGTTGCAATTCGCAGCCATCATCACTAGATGCCACTAAACCTTACACACTGAACCATTAATGACAAATGAAAGGAAAGTGCTTAGATTAGAACTTCGCAGAACTCAGTTTCAAAGAATTCTGTGTAAATGAAGACTTTTTTCAAACAAAAAAACATGTCTGACCACTCAGAATATCCAATATAATAACATATTTGCTTTCTGGAAAAATGGACATTTTCCTGCAACATTCAGACAAAAAACAAACAAACAAACAAAATGATTTTTATATAAATTGTAACCGCATTAAATTGTGTTGACTAGATAGATTTCCTTGGATAAACATTGGATTAATAATAATTGTAACAAAATCCAGTTTTTAATGTAATGAAAAGTGTTAAATAACATACAGTTTAAAATCTCTGGATCTCTTTGTGAAGTTTATGTGTGTGTTTGTGTGTTTGTGTGTTTGTGTGCGTGTGTGTGTGTTTACAGCTGCAGAGGGGAAGTACAAAGGTCTGGTCGACGTCCTGAGAACGCTGCTCCGAGAAGAAGGACCAAAAGCACTCTATAAAGGATTCAATGCTGTCTTTCTGCGAGCTTTCCCTGCCAACGCGGTAAACCTTTGCTGTCATTTTGCTCTTGTGTTCTACTATACTCTACTCTCATATTTTTGCTGCTATACTGCCTGAAAACTACAAGCCAACAACATCACCTGCCTTTCATTTACTCACTGGAATACCTCTTTCTCCTCAGGCCTGTTTTTTGGGGTTTGAGGTGGCGTTGAAGGGATTGAACATGCTCGCACCCAGTTGGTGAAATAAGTCTGTGACTGGTCACCAGTCTGGACCAGGAAACAAAGATCTCTGCTTGTCTATACCATAAACTGTGTTTTGTGTCTTTGGAGTCATATTGAGGATGTATTCTTAAATGTAATGTTACATTTATTTTTACAAATGAATTAATTTAATTGTCATCCTTCAGAATCCAGATTTTTACTTACTTTTTGTGTATAATGGCACAATATAAACACACATTATTGAATGTATAATTTTATTGTGAGGGGGGGTCTAAGCCTTCTCTCATTTTTTAAGTGTTCACAAACTATTTGTGATGTTTGTAAAATGTCAGCTGATTAATTTTTTAGCCTTTCAGTTTAGTATGGATTTATGTATGAATTAGTTTAAGTATTTTTTAATCTAAAAGCTCTGCCAAAAACCAGTATTACTTGATGCTTCTTGAAGAGGTTTGTTTGGTCTGTGTACAGGCTCAGGGAAGTTTTATAAGCTTTGTGATTAACGGGTTTGAATAAAGTGATTTTTGCCATACAAAGAGTGTGAGTGTCCACTGTTCACCCCCAAGGCTGGATTACCAACCGGGCAAAGTGGGCAACTGCACGGGTTCCCTGGTTGTCTGTGTTATAATAACTTTGTCATCATTTGTTTGGTAATATAAATCACTACAGCAACTAATGATCATGGTGTCTTGTGTTACTGTATATAAAATGTTAAGTCTTGTAGAGGGCCTCTGTGACAGAAAACTAGTTTTAATATCTTAATATTTCCAGTTATATATTGTGCTCACTGAGTCTTAGATCTGCTTGAGGTTTCTACATAGCCACTTTTGCCAAGTGCTTGCTCATCGCAGGAAAACTGGTCGGTTCTTGGACTCTGGACAAACTGTTTTTGGGGAAACATATATGGGAGCCTTGGGGAATGTATACTGTACAATAACAGAAGGAAGGACAAATCATGACCAGCAAAATCCTTCTTTGTGTTCTTGTGCTTTTAAACAGATTGTAAACCGGTGGGGTACACATACTCCTGGTTGGGGATCATCTAACTATATCACTAAGAAAAGGACACATGTACACATCTGACATTACTCCAAAATAAGAACAGCAGGATTTTTGTAGTACTTCTTTTGTTTTTTAGTTTCACTTTATTGACAGAATTAAATGTACATTATTTTCCAGTGTGCATTGGAAAAAAACACACACACAAAAGAAAATAAACACTATGTGAATTTCTGTATTGTACAAAAATATTTTTCACTGCCTTCTTTATTCAAACATATCTAATTGCAATAGAATATTCTTCTTCACAAATGTGTAAAAAAGAAAACATTTATATCTTAGATGGATACTTTGCTCAGTCTTTCTCCTTATAATATATGCTTCTGTGTGTGTGTGTGTGTGTGTGTGTGTGTGTGTGTGTGTAAATAAGCCTACTCTGGAAGAACAGATGGAAAATGGTCACTAATATATTCAATATCCAGTCTAAGCCTCTCAAACACATGTTTTAGGATGCAAAATATTATATTATTATAACACAATAATATTCATATTTACAACTATTTTTATTCTAGTTATTCTCCATAAAGATAAACCTAAAAACAGCAGGTCAAAGGTCCAGATTAGAGGCGCTTTACCTCTGACCTGCTTCACAGCATCCTTTTATAGATCCGTATTTCTCAACACGGAAGCAGGTTGCGGAACTACATTAAACACGACCTGTCAAAAACACAACGTCCGTTATCATGAAGCTGTAAAATAGACTGTATATAAAAAGAGCTGTAACCTTAGAAAATACAAAGTGAAAAAAAACACCCGGCGCTCACTGCAAGCAGGAAGTCGGTTTCTTGTCTCAAAAACTACAATACCTATAATTCAGGTGCGTGACTTTCACTTCCGGGGTCGTTGACCATCAGCCTGTCAGCAGGAGAAAGGTGAGGAAAATGTTTGATCTTGTGATGTTTTCTGTACTTAACAAGTTGTTAAAGTCTTTAAATATATTCGATAAGGTCTGATAGAGCTCCCCGCCACGTTATACGTATATTTAAGAGCGATAAAAGCGGTTTATTTGGCTGTTAAGGCAAAACAATAGTGTCAGCCATGAATAGAAATGCAGGCAGATAACTAATTTAATGATTAACAGCTACTTTTAATGTCAGCTGAACGGCAACTTACCCTTTGATATACCAGTGTGTGACTTTATATTATACTGGGCTAGCGTTTTATTTCATACCTGAATGTGTCAGTAAACTTTGGCTAATAGCTAAGTTAGCCAGCAGGCTAGCGTCGTCCAGCAGTTGTAAGTTACATAAGCTTGAATGTTTTGACCTTAGACGCGACTGAGAAAATAATAACTGGTTAGTTAAATGACTAATGCAAATGCGACAGGCTCGTACTCCTCCATAAAAAATAGATTTCTCCTGGTTTGGATTTAGCAAAGATTGTGTGCTAGAAAAGCTGAGAGGTCATACTTCTGGGATTAGCTGCTTTAAAGATAGGGTGAACTGTCACATAACAAAACTGCAGTCGAGGAGTTTTAAAAAAGGAATATTTATTTTTACACTACGAGCTTCTACTACACAATAAGAAGCGTGATTAAACATAAAAGGTACTATTAGATACTATACATGCCAACATAAATAGTAACTATAAAAGGGTTCTAAAACAAATAATTTGAGGAGACAAGGAAGTTGCAAGAAAGAAATGAATACAAAAGTTATACACTTGGTGGTGGAGAGTGAGTGGTTGGTGGTTCAATTCCTGGCTTCTCTCTCCACATGTAGATGTGTCCTTGAGCAAGACTCTGAACCCCAAATTTCTCCCGATGTTGTGTACGCATGGGGAAAAAAATGTAAGTGACTTAAGTTAAAAATGAGTTAATATAATGTAATTGATTAATACGTTTTCTACAGAACTACTTGGTGATGACAGGAGGAAAAGGTTGACATTTGAGCAGCGGGCTGAGATAGCCAGAGTTTTTAGTCTCTAGCTTCAGGCTTCCATAAACACTGGATCCTACATTTCCAATAATTAAAGTCAAGATTCAAGATATTTATTGTCATTTTGCAAGGACAATGACATTAACCTCAAATGGTGCATTATGTTCAAGATGTGACACATATTTACAAAGAATAAAGAAGACAAGTCTTTTCATTTGATCCTCCACACCATCCTCCGACACCAGGGTTATTTTTGTAGAACACCTCGGTGAAGTGCCCCTTTAACTTAGGCTGAAACGTTTGGTAGTTTGTAGTTTTCTTCTGGCTGTTGCTCATTCTGTTTGGGGCTGTGGCAGGTGTTATTGGATGTAGTGTCCCTGGAGTGCTGCGATGCCGCTGGAGGTAAAATGGCCGTTCCCACAGTGCCCGGCTTTGGCGTGGAGAATCTCCAGCTCACTGATCATGGGCATGGTGGGCTCCTATTCCTACTTCTGGACCAGTAAGTTGGAATATACAACATACAGACCACATACCATCGCAATACCATCACAATACCAACAACAACATTCTCTCTTGTTAACCCAACTCGCAGACGTTTTTTGTTTCTTGTTTTACCGTTCTCTATCTCTCCATCTTCAGAGTACATGAACTGCTTGACGGTCCACAACCACAAGGTTTTGTTTGATCTGATTGACCAGAGGCCCTCGGACTCACCCCTCATCACTCTATCCAATCACAAGTCTTGTATGGATGACCCCCATATCTGGGGTAAGAACATTTGCATAATCTGAAATCACACAGGTCTGGAGAGTAATATCAGAAAACAAATCACATCTGTTTGTGACAGGCATACTGAAGCTCAGGCATTTGTGGAACTTCAACAAGATGCGGTGGTGAGTTGTAGGATTTCCACACCTCATTAACTCATTGTAGCAATTAGTGTGATTTTTGTCTTATTATTCAAATAACGTGAAATAATTTACCTGCTATTTGGTAGGACTCCAACAGCAGCTGACATCTGTTTCACGAAAGAGCTGCACTCACGATTCTTCAGCCGTGGAAAGTGTGTTCCCGTCTGCAGAGGTGAGTTGTTGTGAGTTGGCGTCATCCCTCAGCTTTGTTTTACTGTCTGTTGAATGAATGACTGTGTTGTATGTATGTGTTCTCTGTAGGCGATGGTGTTTATCAGAAAGGCATGGATTTTATTCTGGAGAGGCTGAACAGAGGAGAATGGGTGCACATTTTTCCAGAAGGTATTTTTAACCTTCCTCCTCGCATGAACTCTTCTTGTCATCTTGTTCTCTTTTTCTGTAGCTTTTTTGATTTGAAGTTTAATTTATTGTTAGGATAGCCCTTGTTTTCAAGGGGGTCCTATGGAATCAAATACAAAATAAAACGCATACAAACACAAACCTCACGCAACAAACTGAACATACGTAAAAGGAAAAAATAGATACAATGGCCGTCATAATAAATGCATTACAAGAGCATGGATTGAATTGTCTTTGATTGAAAGTACACACAAGTCAAAAGTTAGGTTGTTTTATGATAATAAAATAAAGATGTCCTAAAGCAACAGAAAGAGGAAATAGATCTCATTATAAAGATAGGCATTAAAACAGAGAAGAGCATTTTGATTTAAACCAATAGAATAGAGCACATCAGGGAAGCTGTAACGGTCAACCATAACAAAAGTTTTGGAAAGATTGATATGATTGATGATTTTTATTTTATCTAAAGCCTGATTGGGGTGGAGATGAGATTCAGATTCAGCTTTAGTATTGTGGAAATAAGCACGTCACTCTCTCCTTCCTCATTTAACAGGCAAAGTCAACATGACTGAAGAATGCATACGGTTAAAATGGGGTGAGTACAGTGCATGTTTGAGGGATCACACTGAGCAGAGCTTTGGAAAGATGACGTTTTCTGTGAGACGATCATTTCTGCTTTGTTTTTCAGGTGTGGGCCGGCTAATAGCAGAGTGCTCCCTTAATCCTATTATCCTGCCGCTCTGGCATGAGGGTAAATAACACCACCACCACCACCACAGTTCACAAAACGTGATCTCTCATGTTCGCTCGTGTTTTCTACACCGCAGATGGTAGAAACTGCCAGGGTGAAAAGAGAAGTTGGAACATAAAGTGCACAGAAATTGATTTATTTTCATTGCTTCAGACAGTATTTTGAGGTCATTCTTTTTTGAGAGCTGATAGATGGAGAATGATATGCAGCAAAGTTCTCAGGCCACACACTGTAGTCTCACACCGCCCTGCTGCCCCAAGTACTCACTAGAGCACCACATGTGGATTCATCCGCCGCTGAAAATAGTCCCCAGGTTTTATTTTTTATTTAAAAACTGTAGTGAGCAGCTTGTAAGGAAATTACTGGGCCTTTTTTTTATTTTATTTTATTTTTAGCATATTGTTGTGACCAGTTTTTAAAGATTAAAGTATTCAGAAGGAACCAATATTGACAGACTAAAAGGTTGGTTTTGTCATGGAATTTGCTGACATAAAAAAAAAAAAACTGGATATCAGCCATTCCCATTATATGATATTATGATGTCAGGTAGTAACGACAGTGGTGGAAAGTCTGCCGAGAGACTAGTCCATCAGTGAATGATGGAGATACTGAAGTCAGACCGATTCGTTCATACAAAAAACAACTAGTTGTCTTTTCCTTCTACTTTTGTCTCAGGTTTGAGTGACGTTCTGCCAAATAGGACGCCCTACGTTCCTCGGATTGGCAAGGTAGAACATTTCCATCTTATCCCAGCAATATTTTTCCAATCCATTTATTTGTACATAGCACATTTAAAAAAAACTGGTTTACAGTGCTGCACAAGGAATGATACATAAAAACATAGACAACATACAAACAAATTGTTCACCAACAATTGAAAGGCAACAACAGAAGACCACACAGCTCACATGTCGGATTAAAAGCCAGGGAATAAAAGTGAGTTTACAGACCAGTTTTAAAAGTTTCGAGGGTGGGGGCCATTTTGACCTGTGCAGGTATCTCATTCCATAGTTCAGAGCTACTGAAAAAACGCCTTACAAGTTTACACTCCCTCAAGGTCACTGATGAGCTGCGGCTGGTCGCCCTAAAAACAAGGCTAAAAATCACATCCCCACATCCGATTTTTTTGTTTGACAGATCATATTATTGTTTAAATGTGGCCCATATCACACTCCAGAATAAACTGTCCGCGGCCTGAATTTAACCCACACACGCAGCACGCTGTTGTACTGCGTCCACTGGGACAAGTAGCATGTACGTAATTCAGAAGAGAGCTCGCGGCCTGGTGGATTTCAGGTGTAAGAAAGGGAATTTGTGGGCATATGATGGCAAGGTGTAGAAGAAAGAGAGCCACGTGTTTAAGACTGGCATTTTGTGAAGCTTTTTCGTTCAATGCGGCTCCGTCTTCAGCAGAACTGTGATAACAGCTGCTCTAGAATGACGTCGCATCAATTCCGACCTGAGTGTCCAGACTGAGGTCGCATTTAAAAAGATCCGATATGTATCGGATTTGGACCACATAAGGAAGTGGCCCAAATCTGAAAAGATCAGATTCCATGTGACTTGGCCTGTTCACACTGTCTTAAAAAGATCAGATCTGGGTCACGTATAGGCAAAAAAAAAACAACCTCCGATTTGGGTCACATTGGCCTGCAGTCTGAATGTAGCCTTAGTGACCTTGAGGGGGCGTAAACTTGTAAGAGGTCTGACCTATAACAAGGCACCAACCCATTTAATGATTTAGATATTAAAGATGTATTAAAATGTAATCTGAAATGGACCGGGAGCCAGTAGAGTGAGGCAAAAACATTCTGGAATAACTGTAGGCGTAATAGAGAGGATTGGTTTACGCCAAAGTAAAGTGCATTTTTATATAATGTTTATCTTGACTGCTGGTTTAATTCCAGAGAATCACAGTCTTGGTGGGGAAACCGTTCAGTGTGAAAGACATCGTTGAAACCCTTCGAGCCGAAAACAAGAGCCAGGTGAGGCACATTTATTACACATGTACACACTGGGCTGGATAGTAATGGAGTACTTGTAATGGTATAATGGATGTATTTTAATACACTTAAGATTTAGCTATATTTCATTATGTTATATGAATATAATATATTTGGTTATACAGGCAGATTGAGAGAGATTGCAGATTTGTTTCTGTACCCAAAGTTTATTCGCCATGAAATGTCGTTCTGCTTCAACAGAGGTTCAACAGAAGAATTATATGAAATGTATTTATCATTATATTCAAATGATGTTTATTGCCTGTTTCAATACATAAAGACCCCAACTTTGTTTGTCAATTGGATAATTAAATAAGTAACTAATTAATTAATTAATAGGAAATCAATTTGCAACTATTTTGATTATTGATTAATCATTAAATTTTAAATGATTAAACTCTCAAAGTATCTTTTGGTTTTTGGTCAAGACATTTGTAGATATCACCATCAGCTCTTGTAACTGGGAATTTTTTGCTATTTGCTGATATCCTGTAGATGATTATGAACTAATAAAGAAAATCTCTTGGTAGATGAATTTATAATGAATAAAATTAGTTGCAGCCCTAGTTTTAGGGATCCACATTTTCTCTAATCAACAATGGAAAATAATTTGGTTTCAGTTAATGTCTCATTATTTTGTCTCAAATCATCTACCGATGTGTTTTGCTTTTTCTCGATTGATCGTTTTGCCTAGGAAATTAGTTCTTGTGTCATAAAATCGTTTTTAAAAAGCAGATCACATTTTCCCAGGGCCCAAGTGATGTCTTCAGGTTGCTTGTTTCTGCCAAACCCAAAGAGACCGTAAAACTTGAATGAAAAGCAAAGTCCCAATTAGATGCAAATAAAAGCCTGGGCTATTCATTTAAGTTCTATGGTGTTCAAATACTTTAAATGAAAAATAAGCAAATTTTTAAAAGCTGGAATAAGCAAATATTTTTGGTTGGGGGAAAAAAAACCAAAAAAAATGGTTGTTGACTAATTTTCTTTCCATAATAGTTTCAGCTCTAGTTGGCATTACTGGTTACCGTTATGGTAGGTTAAAGCACCACATGAGGCATTCACAAAGGTGTTTTAAAAAGAATATTTTAAAAAAAGTGCAACACATATATTTTCACTTTTTACATTTCAGTTGGAAATGAGGAAGACCTTGACTGATTTCATCCAGGGGGAGTTTTGGAGCCTGAAAGCCCAGGCCGAGGCCCTCCACGGGCAGACCAAGTCCTGAGTCCCAGCCTTCCTGCTACACTTCTCCCCTCCAACAAGACTGAAGCCAATACCTTTACTCCTGGAAGCCCTCCTACACACAGGACTGTCTGTGACTACTTTTTTTTTTGGTATCCACTCCCTTTCTTTTCTCTGCTGGATCACACACCTCCACACTGCAATGTCATCGAGTTTCAACAAGCTTAGGAACGTTTTTGGGAGAATGTATGCAAGTTGTGTTTTGCTGATTCAACAGAAATGCCATTACATTTTGTTTTTATTCAAAGCTGCAAATACATCATCCAGTTGCTGCAATCCACAGCCACCCAAAGCAGGACAATAGATAAAAAAAAATAGATTGATGGATGAACTACAATCGATGCTGTGTGACTTTTTAAGCAGCCATTTCTACAGTTGATTGGGCATTAAATATCATTCATATATCTCATTTAACTGGTAATTTGAGCTTCTCCGCTTTGTTTCAGTTATTATCCCACTGGTACCATCAACACAGCCAAGTGTCGGAGGAATGATGCACATTTTGGATGATTTCATGCCTCACAAATTACATGCAGTGCCAATGCAGGAAGTAGTGTCTGTTTTATGAAGCGAGGTGCAAAGTAACCCTCCACTCACTGACCTGCAAGTAACGTTCATGTTTTATTGACCGTAATTATGATCTTCCTCTAACCTTAAAGTTGTTATCGATAAGATTTCAGTCTCCCACGGTTACTGGTGACAACAGCAAGTGCGGTTCAGTACTACAGAAAACACTCGTTGAGCAGCTACTTTATCAGAAATAAAGATAGAAAACAGAAGGGCAACAGGTGTATCAGTTTACAGCCCAGCCAAACAAACTCAGGTTGTTTTTAATAAAGAATACATAAAATGCCTTTTTTCCATCACGCCAGAGCAGCCCCCATCTGATTTCATGCTGGTCAAATAGTTTTCAACACAACAGCAGGGCGCAATAAAAGCAGTTGTTACCCTGTTGGTTGGAGGTGTTCATCATTGTGGCTGCTCCTTCAGGTTCCAATACTCCCTGTAATGTTTAAAACCATCCCAAAAAAAAGATCACAGTAAATCCTAACCTTGGTGGCAAATACGTTGTGCTTCCTTTAGCTGCTTAACAATAAAAGCCACCCTGTGTTTTGCCGGTTGAACACTCTTTACATTAAACAGTGATAGAAAAGTGAGGCCGAGATCACTGAGATGAAACTACAAACAGTAACGCTGCAATACATGCTGCATCGTTTCCTGTGATGACTTCTTGCATGGGAATGGCGGACTTCTCAATTTACCGTGAAAACTACTAAAGCTAAAGGTAATTACAAATGTAAAAACCTTATATTGCTATTGTAGAAAAAATACTGACCTAAAAAAATGTAATCCAGGCGTTTGCAGGATCGTCCCAATATCGACTTTCTTGTCTGAGATTAGGGCAGCATCAGCTTGTTACCCCATTTTATTCTTTACACAAAGCTGTGGTTTGTTTAAATACTAAATATGAGCATACAGTGTGCTCCTCTGCGCATACACATGCATTGATATAATAATAATAATAATCCTTATTTGTAGAGCACTTTTCAAAAACAAGTTACAAAGTGCTTTAACAAGTGTAAAGAATAATACAAAAAAACAAGAGCATGAAAAATTAATATAAAATTAGTGAAATAAAATAAAAGGGATAAAATAAAGTCAAATAAGATCGGGAAAGGCTCTCCTATAAAAGTACGTTTTAAGAAGGGACTTAAAAGAGTTCAGACTCAGCCGACCTGATTTCCTCGGGCAGGCTGTTCCAGAGCCTCGGGGCCCTGACAGCAAACGCTCTGTCCCCTTTAAATATAGATTCCTAATTTCTAGTCTAATGAAGTTAGTCAGCAGGACATCACTATACTGCATGGTTAACTTTCACAGTCGTCATAGGCGAGAGGCATGCTGAGTGAATGATTGTTTGGAAAGAATGCTGTCATGTCCATGAAGCTTTAAAGAGGTGGTATTATGCTTTGTGGCTTTTTCCCTCTCCTTTTTTTTGTGAATGTAATAGGTTTGTAAAGTGAAAAATCCCAAAGTCCAGCCCAAAGGGAGTTCCCATCTCCCACAGCAAACTCTGCTCTGAACTGCCTGAGAACAGCTCGTTTGTAGTCCAGCTGTTCCCCTATGAGCTGCTAAATTCACCTCACATAACGCTCGCCAAGCAGCTGCTCCGACACGCCCTCAAAAACACTGAGCGGCAGCACACACCACTACTAGCTAGCTACCCTCCAGGCAGTTAGTGGACATAAAGTTGTTACTGTGATGTAGAGACAGAGCTCAGTTAAAACTTTATGGATGAAAGATATTTTTGTTACCGCTCTGAAACTCTTGGTCCAGTCCATGTTGCTAAGCTGGTAAGGGGATATACAGCTGAACCGAAGCTGTGTTTACTGGCTTCTTACTGACCCGCCCTTATCTGCTGCTGATTGGCTAGTAGTCCTAAACTAGGAACTCCCATCAAAGATCATGGAGAAGCAGGGTGTATCACTCCATATCTAAAACATGGCGTTCAACACGCAGGGTAAAAAGAGGAGCTGCAGCAATGTGCAGTATGACAAAAAATATGGTGTTTTTTGAAAATTAATTCATGTAAGCCTGTTTTGGTGCAACCTCTAAGATTTTGAACCTGAAAATGACCAGAATACCACCTCTTTAAATCAGTCCACTTTTGTGTCCTGCACTGTCTCTGTAATCAAATCAAGTTTGCAAATCATCTCTTAGTACTGTAGATCGTCAAGGATTGAAATGCATGGTTTTCTGTAGATCCTTTAACCCTCTGAATGCACAGAGATCAATGGTTTTTGTAAGGGTGTTAAAGCTACAGATAAGTGATCTGTGGTGATTTTATAAATCTATGGCCTTACTGTGATTGCCACTCTTTCCTATTGTACAGTATGTGAATGCAAATAAACTATTCAACTTTTTTTTATTTTTTTTTTATATTTTTGGTGGAACTGCTGCCGTGTTTACAAGACATTATCTAAAGTGTTCTCTCTTTATGATCATAGTTTTAAGGAAGTTACATGATATTGCTTTCTGCACTAATTTCTGCCTTTATTGCAACACTTTATGGTGGAAATGTTTTTATTTACATTAAGTGAAATTTCCATAAACATATAGATATAGATATATATCTAGCTAGCTCCTCTTTCAGCCCTTGGTATTTCTCAAGCTTCTCGTGTTCCTTCTTCTTGATGTTGCTGTCTCTTGGGATCCCACATCTATCACTGCAGCCTTCTTCTGCTGTTTATCGATCAACACGATGTCTGGTTGGTTCGCCATCACCAGTTTGTCAGTCTGGATCTTGAAGTCCCACAGGATCTTAGCTCGGTCATTCTCAACTACCTTAGGAGGTGTCTTCCATTTTGACCTTGGGACTTCCAGCCCATCCTCATGGCAGATGTTCCTGTACACTATGCCAGCTACCTGGTTATGGCGTTCCATGTACGCACTTCCTGCCTGCATCTTACACCCTGCTGTTATGTGCTGTACTGTCTCAGGGTCATCCTTGCACAGTCTGCACCTGGGGTCCTGCCTGGTGTGGTAGACCCCAGCCTCTATTGATCTTGTACTGAGTGCCTGTTCTTGTGCCGCCATGATTAGTGCTTCTGTGCTGTCCTTCAGTCCAGCCTTTTCCAGCCACTGGTAGGATTTCTTGATATCAGCCACTTCTTATATTTGTCTGTGCTACATTCTATGCAGCGGCTTGTCTCTCCATGAAGGTTCTTCATCTTCCTTGTCCTCACCCTCACTGCTTTCTGCCGCCTGAGGTATTCACTAAGCCCTTCATCTTTGGGGGCCATCTTCCTGGTGTACTCCTGGATCTTTGTCGATTCATCCTGAACAGTGGTCTTGTCCAGTCCGAACAACATTCCAATGTCGTTGCTGTAGATCCTGGTAGTGTGGATCAGTGAGTCGATGTCTTGCTCGTTTCTGGCATACAGCTTAATGTCATCCATGTAGAGGTGAACCGGTATCCGTAGACGGTGTTTGTGATGATCTGGCTGAGGGGGTTCAGGCCTAAGCAGAACAGCAGTGGGGATAGTGCATCACCTCGGTATATGCCGCACTTGATGGTGACTTGTGCAATTGGCTTCCAAACTTGTTTTCCACAGCCCCATTGAGTTCTCGATGAAAGAATTCAAGTATCCATGTATGTGGCATTGAGTCGTAGGCTTTCTTGTTGTCCTCGTCTTGCAGTCTCGAATGACTCTATCAACCAGTAGCTGGTGCTTGGCTCCCCTGGTATTACTACCCATTCCCTTCTGGGCCCTATCCATGTATTGAGCCATGTGCCTACTCATCTTAGCCACTATGATGCCTGACAGGAGCTTCCATGTTGTGCAGAGGCAGGTTAATGGCCGGTAGTTGGATGGGATTGTTCCCTTCTGGGGATCCTTCATGATCAGGACTGTCCGTTCTTGGGTTAACCATTCTGGGTGGGTCCCATCCATCAGCATTTGGTTCATTTGTGTTGCCAGACGTTCGTGGAGTGCAGTTAGTTTATTCAGGATCATGTCAGGGCCTGGTGCTGTCCAGCTCTTCATACCTGCCACTCTTTGTTGGATGTCTGCCGTTGTAATGGTTGCTGGATCTTGTTCTGGGAGATTGCTGTGATCTGTTCTTAGATCCACTAGCCACTGAGCATTGGTGTTGTGGGATGCCATGGTCCACCTGGATACCCCGCCCAAGTACAAAAGTCAGTTGCATTAACAATTGAGCTGTCTTTTGTTTTGTTTGTTTGTTTTTAGATTATTTAGGTTCAAATTTATTTATTTATTTGACAGGGACAATACATGGAGGCATTGTGTAATGTATATAGGAGAGAATAGGACAGGCCTAGACAAACAACTAGTATTAAAATTAAAGTAAAAATTATGATTAACAACAACAAAAGGTAAGGACAATATTTTTTTAATCTGTCTTTTGTAAGTACCAAAACTTTAGAGAAAAGCAATACAAATCACAGAAAATCTAAAAATTAATTAATATAGTAAATAATTAATAAGCTGTAAATCCCTTTTTTTAGATGCTTATAAAACACCATAAGTTGTGTCTAATGAGTCTGAAGGAGCGAGAAAGAGCTTCTTTTGGGCAGTTTTGAACATGGACAGATAGCTAATGGTCTATTTGTTTTAACAAAAATACTTAAATTCATTAAAAAAAATATTACAACACAAATAAGACTCTAGCTAAAAAAATATTAGCTATTGGACTGAACTACCATTAATAATATTTCTGTCTAATGAAACAGAACACAAGGCAATGCTAAGTGAATTTTATTTGTGTTTCACAGTGAGGAGGAAATTGATTCATTAAAATCAGAAAATCAAATTAATTACTGCGTAATGCGATATATTTATTTTCCATTTTGATTATTTTGTTAACTGTAAACTTTATGGCCAAAAGTATGTGGACACCTTACTCCAGTCCACTTGACTAGCCTGGTATGAGATGGTCAACAACTACATGAGTGTATTTTCCAGTGACCACATACTTTTGGCCATATGGTGTACTTGGAATTTTGATAGTTTCATTGGTTTCTTGAT